TCAAACTTCTGGCCTTTTATTTTTACTAACTTATCTATAAGAATTAAACCAGCTACTAAGACTTAGCTCACCTAAATATTCATTGCTCTTTCAATTAAAGGATATTTGGGTGGTTTGTTTTTATATGATTATTTGCTACATTATTTTCATTAAGGTACAGATATTGGTTTTTTTAAAAAATTTTAGAAACAATTGATCACTCAATATTTAATTCAGGATATCTTTGTATAAATTCTTCAGCAATATATTGATACTTTGCTGATAGGTTTTGATTAGAATATTCACAAATTTGTTTTTTTGGGGCATTACTTAGTTTATTATACGTTTTTTTAGATAGTAGATTTGAAAGCATAGTGAAAGTTAGGGCAAACACAAAATAAAACTCTTAGTCTAACTTTTATAAAGATAATATAATAAAGATTATTGCTATTTTAGGTTTAATTAATAGTATGATTTTTTTTATATATAATTATTCAGACTCTTAAAATTCATTTGATTATTAAGTTTTAAGGCTATATAACAGAAGTATTTTCTTTTTTTCTCTAATCTTTTCATTTTCTAAACTATAAAATTTATATTTTTTATATACTATATCTTGTTATTAGCTTAAATAACTTGGCTTAGCTGAAATATCATAGAACTTGGGCAATAGCTTTATATAATAGCCTGACTATGATCAGAGTTGTTGTTGATAACTCTCTGTGATAATTACTACAGTAAGCTACTAGTAAGTTATCATGAATTCTAGCAGCAAGTTGTCAAATACTTCTATATCACAGCCAATATTAGCAAGTTTTATGATGATAGACAATTATGAATGCAAGTTATTTCACTGATAACTTACTGCGATTTAGCTTTATTGCTAAAATTTGTAAATTATCATAATTCAGCTATAGTTTTAATTAGAATATTATTCATTTGATGATTTAACTATGGCTTGAAACAAAATAATTTATGCCAAGCTCTTAACCCCTTAACTCATAGTCTGAAACAATGGCTCTACAAGTTATTTCACCTTTAACTTATAATGGGTTTGTGTTAAAATTCTGATAAGTGAAATCCTGACAGGTTATAATCCTAACAAAAAATCTTGATAGCCAAATCTAATAGTTAAAAATCCTAACAATTAAAAATTCTAATGAAAAATAAGCTAACCCTAGCCTAACTCTTATCTAAAGTGCCCTAACTCTAAAGTTTATTAAATTATAAGAGATTACTTAGCTTTAAATATACTCTATATTTAGGATTTTCTATTGAAAATTGATTGTTAAAATTGTTAGGATTTTGACTATTAGAATTTTTTTGTTAGGATTATGACCTTTTGGGATTGTGCTTGTCAGAATTTTGATGGGCAATCACTTATAACTTATTACCAAAACTTGTATTGCTGTAATTTACAACTATAACTATAGTTTATCAGAATATATATTTACTTAATAGTTTTAATCACAGCTTGAAACCAATTAGATTCATGCTAAGCCCTTCTTAATCATAGCCAAAGCCATAGTTCTGAATAGAACTGATCAATTTCAGGTTGTGGCTAAGCTTGCTTCAATCTATTTTGTTTAATTTTTAATTTTTTTTTCTAATTATCCTACAGCTATAGTTTAAAAATAAACAATCGAAGACATAAAAAGATATTAATTTAATATCTAATATATGTCTTCAAGATCATTACTGCTTGCTATCGATTGGTTATTTCTATACTGTGGCTACGTACTTTGGGGCTCTGATCGATTTCTGTGAATATAAGGAATACAGGATCCTTAATATTATTGACCATAAGTAAAATATATCAGGTAGGTAAAAAGAGATTGGACAGGAACCTTTTGTATTATTTCCACTATTATCAATTTTTTTTATAATCTATACGTCTGGGCAGATAGATAGAGAGTTCTAAATAGGACTTTTTTCTTAATAACTATTTTTATTATACTGTCATATTGCAAATGTAGAGTTTATATTAAACAAGCATAAGTGGGTTTTAGAAAATTAAATTGAATTCTATATTTCATTTTAATCTGATTTCATTATAATTTGTGCTATTAATTAACCTGCATATTATATCATATATAGCTATGTGCGTTATTTTAAAATAAGAGTAATTGTATCCTTTAATAATAATAAGATTAGAACAAATTCTCTGATACTAAAGCTAAGTAAACCTGTTTTTGTTTTAATATGAATAGAATCAAAAGTAGGTTTATTTAGTACAAACAGTTTTAAAACACTTTTTGCTTCTTTATTTTTTATATAGAGTATATTAAGATGTATATTAATTTTGATACCCATATTCTACTTTAGAGGTTGCTATTTTTGAAATAACACTCACAAATATTATTTCGCACTTATATCAAATCGATATGTAACAAAAAAATAGATTAATCATAATAATGTAATATTTTGAAAATTTTTGTGATTATATTGAAGGGAATTTATTAATATTGGTTAACAAATATTATGTAATAATGATTATAAAGTGATTGTGACTATATAGAAAATAAAATAATATAAATTTATTTGGTAAATAAAAAAAATGATTATAATAAGGTTGTAACTATATCAAGAGTGACTATAATGAGGTTAGACTGTAGTTTATATAATAAAAATTTGATATTTAAAATTTTAACTTTTTTTTTAATTTTTCTAATTTTTTATTTATTTTTGTTATACAAGATTCAGTGATCTAATTGGTTGATTATATTTATCTGTAATATAGTAACTTGTAATATTTAATAATATTCTATATAATAGTAAAACTAGCCAAAATTAGTATTAGTTATAATATTATTGTAGTTATAGATATTTTATTTTAACTAATTAACAAAATAGTTGATTTAAAATTTTTATTATTCATAAAATTTAAACTTTTAATATATTACTTAAAATAATATTTTAATTATTTTGTTAAATTGTTATATTTTTTTAAACAAATTTATCAAATTTAGTTAAATAATTATTAATAAATTTTTATTTAAAATTTTAAAAAATTTAAAACACAATTTATTAATAAAGTTTTTTAATAGCTATTTGTTAAATTTGATAAATTTTTTTTATTTTAAATCTATAAATATATAAAAAATTTTTTTATTTTAAATCTATAAATATATAAAAATTTTTTTTTATTTTAAATCTATAAATATATAAAATTAAAATAAAAAAATTTTATCAAATTTGGTTAAATAAAAAAATTTTATTCAAGTAAAAAAATTTCAAAACACTTTATAAACAAACCAGATTTTTTTAATTTGAGTAAAGTTTTTTCAATAGCTATCTAACAAAATTTGATGATAAATTTTTTATAAACGTGTAGAATTAAAACTAAAAAAGTTATATAAAATTTTGTCAAGTAGTTATTAAAATGCAAAAAAAATTAATTACATGTATGTTGACCCGTGATTAATTTTAATTAGCCGAATGTGCTTAGATCATCAATAAACATCACGTAATCTGTTGCGCACTCAATAAGTAAAGTCGTACTATTATCACTGGTTTTTTGTATAAGAATTTTGATACATTGTTTTTTGTACAAACGCAAATACTGCACAAGAATTTTAAAGTATAGTTAACTTTATATTTGTAACAATTTAATTATTTTTAGAAATCTTGTGATTAATACGTAACTCATACGATCATGTTGAAACAGAATAAAAGAATTTAAAGTTAGGAATATTCTACAATTGCAGTACTTGATAAGAGCATGAGTAATACTTAAACGAAAATCCGTAACGTACTTATGCATTACGAGATTTAATTTAATAGCATTTAGTATTAAATAGCATTATGCAGTATACGTATCAGGAATTAAATTCCATTAAGTGAACATTAGGCGAAAGTAATGCATACGAACGTTAAATGTTCCCATACGGTACTTATATAAGTAAACCTTTGTGAAACGCACTATATCATATCGATATTATATCGATATATATATAATTATATATAAATATATACGTAATTAAAAGGCACAACTTTTCTCTTAAGGTGTTACTATTTGAGACAAATTTAACACACTACGTAAAATAAATCTAATGTCACATTATCTTGCATTGCTTGAGCTAAATAAAGTCGCGTTGCAATTTCGTATTATTTATAATTTTCGATAATTAATTCAGTAAGTCACGGAGTGCTGAAGCGAGGCGTCACGCGAGCAATGAATTCCATTATCTCCTATGTCGTTATAGCAGACTGTTTTTATGTTGCATGTGCATTTACACAAATTGATTGATTAATTATTTGCGATCGCTATTGAATACCAAAATTATTAAGAAATCTGACTTAGCTGGGTAATTTTATCTATAATGGAAATAAATGTTTTTTTTTTAGTTATTTATCATCATTTTGATTACGTAGCTGTTAGGGGAAACAATCTCTGTAACATCTAAAATTTATAGCTCAAGTTGAAATATTTATTATTTAACCTTTAACGGCTTTGGATCTAACTATTCTTTTTATGGTCTTACTTGTTAATCAATCTATTTTTAGAGAACTTACGTACTTTTAATGTTAACGTCTGCTTAAGAGTTCCAGAATTACATGCATCACGCATCTCGGTAGTTCCTTGTTAACTCAATATTGCATGAAGACATACTGGCCATAAATTTCTTAGTAAATTCTGTTTCTACGTACTAAATTTTTTTTACACTATACCGATACTGTTTCTACTAAATTTTTTTACACTATAAGAATATAAGCTATTATCGTTACTATTAAGACATTAAAAATATTTCTTTGTCCTCTTTCGCAATGCCTTGTACTCCTTTTGGTAAAAGTAAGCCGTTGCAGCGTAAATTAGTTGTGTTAGGTGATGGTGCTTGCGGAAAGACTTCCCTTCTAAACGTATTTACGAAGGGCTATTTCCCACAGGTTCGTTATATATATATATATATATATATATATATAAAATTCTTTATTGAACTAAGAAAGTCGCTCTTTAAAGAAATAACAATTTTTTTTCTCTATTTATTACAATTTCTATAGGTCTACGAACCAACAGTATTTGAAAATTACGTACACGATATATGGATTGACAACCAACAAATTGAATTATCACTATGGGACACAGCAGGTAAATGTGTTAAAAATTATTAAAACAAAATAACACATTGTTCTAAGTCTTTACAAACTACTTAAAACAGGGCAAGAAGAATTCGATCGTCTTCGTTCGCTATCATATGCAGATACACATGTGATAATGCTATGTTTTGCAGTAGACAACAGAGACTCTCTAGATAATATAGAATCAAAATGGATGGAGGAAATACTTGAACATTGTCAGGGCGTCAAGATTGTCTTAGTCGCCCTTAAATGTGATTTAAGAGAAGATCTTCAGGTTGTCAGAGACATGCAACGTTATGGTGAAAGACCTGTAACATATGAAGAGGTAATTCATAAAAAAACTGAAAAGCATGAAATAAACGTGTTTTGAACTCAATGAAATCAATTCTGAATAGGGGTTGGCAGTAGCTCGAAATATCGAAGCATCTAGATATCTAGAATGTTCAGCAATGCACAATCGAGGTATGCTCCTACACATTTTATTTAATATAAATAAGTCTTATTAATTAATACCTACATTATTTAATTGTTGTTCAGGTGTACGAGAAGCCTTTGAACAGGCCGCTCGAGTAAGCATTCATGCAAGACCCAAAGGTGCACCTGGTGATTCCAACAATATAAGATGTGTAGTTTTGTAAAGATATCGGTTTCTTGCAAAAATTAAAGTTTTTGTATTTTTAGTCTATATTGGAATTTTTGTGTCATCGAGCAAATATACATTCGCTCAGCACCTTATTTTCTTTTCATTCCTTCTATAACGGTCAATTTGATTGTCATTTTTTCTTAGGTTTTTTTTTGAAAATGTTTTTTTTTCAACGGCAATTCCCTTCGTACCGTATTGTATCACAGCCCACTTACAAGGATGTATTTACTATTTGATTGGTTTATTATTCAAAAAATGATGTAATTGATGGTATTGGTTTGATGATATTAGTTTGAGGTTGAGATACAAAAGGGATGTGGCACCAAATTCGACAAAGTTACAGGCTACCGCAGCAGTTGGGACTTGTCGAAAGATTAATTCTCAGAATGGCACAATTTCATTATTTTAATACAAAACACTGCAGCATTAAAGATTTCACATCATACCAATTAATAATTAATTAGCAATAAAATTAAAAGTAAATTTTTTTTTTTTATTATTATTATTTTTTTTTTTTTACTAGCGTGATAAATGTGGGATGAGTTTTTATATTTCAAAATTTAATGTCGGGTGTTTTGTTCATCTTTTTTCTTATTTCAATTAGAATTTAGGGTTAGTGTTTATAATAAAAGAGTGTAGATGAATTATAGTAGGGTTTATATTTCAAATTAAGACCCCAAATTTCAGCATCATCTGACTTTAGCATAATCCCCGACATTTTTAATGTAGGTGAATATTAAAAATGTAAATATTCATAAAAAAATGAGGACTAATCTGGGGCGTTGGCCTAATGGATAAGGCATCAGACTTCGGATCTGGGGATTGTGGGTTCGAGTCCCATGCGCCTCGTAATTAATATTTTTTTTTTGACAATTCGCCAGTTGCGATGCATCGCTACCCCTGATTAACCAATCATTTGGTTTGTTTTGATTTTCTGTTAATCAAAACAAAACAAATAGCGACTGATTAGAGTTAGGTTAGGGTTTGGTCAAAATAATAGCTAAAGAAACTTCCCTAACCCAAAATTTCGCAAGGAATTTTTTTTGTTAGAATAAAAAGGGCAGTTTCATAGGCAAAATTTTAAGTTAGAAGCGATTTTTTTAAAAAAAATCCTGCATCCTGATTGGTCAATCAGGAGTAGCGATGCGGTGAATGATAACTCTTTTTTTTATTAAAAATTTTATTTAAATAATCTGTAGTCATATTTGTTACACGAATTCATATTTAAAATTAATACGTATATACAATACTATACAATACAAGGTAAATGACGAATGTGGGAAAAATGACGAATTGAACATATTAAAAGAAAACAGAATTTTTTATTAAGCAAATCAAAATTTAATCAACTAAGTTGTTCGAAATACCATCTTTTACTTATCCCCAAATTTTGGTGCATTACGGATAATTTTTAATGATTTTTTTTCGTTATACGCTTTGGCTCAATTAATTTTCTGCGCCAAAACGTATGATGAAAAGCTCATAAATAAAAAATTATCGATAATGCGCAAAAATTTGAGGGTAAGTAAAAGCTAGCATTTCGAATTTTATAAGTAAAGTTCGATTTATTTAGTAAAAATATTCTGTTTTAAATATAAAACAACCTTTAACTAAATCTTTAGTTAAAGATCACGTGAAAAAACTATAAAAAAAGCATCTTGCCAGGTTATATTGATTATTGTAATATAGTAAAAAAATTTAAAATTTGTTAAAAATTTATTAAAGTTTGGGTTAGCATTTAGAATAAAGTTAGAGATTAGATGGTTATATAGTAAAATTACTTAAAAAATTTTTTTGTTGAAGTATTGTAGATAGTTTTTTATACCAATTTTTAAAAAATAAGTAATTTTAAACAAAACAAAGGTGTCTGAAAATAAGGGGTCCAATTGGATTCTTGCTCGGTTAGAAGGTAACTCACATAGGCGCAGAGAGTTTAAATAGGTAACCCCCTAGTCGGGTTGCAGGTATGACAT